ATAACGGTGATTTGGAAACAATATTAATAGGTAGTATGTGTTATTTAATTCGAAAACTCGTCACTTGAAACGATAATTATACCCCGGTGTAGCATTGGAAGCCAATAGGCTTAACATATATATTTTACAATTTAAAGTAGAAGAACTATAGAAATATATCATAGTAGTAACTACCGTTGGTGTTTGAAGTATTTTACTGCAGAAAAAAACACTGCTTCTCTTTTCAGATTGTCGTCCCTGTACAGAAGAAAAACTACTGAAAAGTTTTTGCACCAGTGAGTTTGGTAAGCTTGAATGTTTTGTTTTCAGATGACGATTTCTGACTGATTTATGTGGTACATTTTATAATAAATGTACAAAATAAGCACACACGTAAAACAATTTTGTGAAATAAAAACAGTAAACTTGCTTCTGGAGAATTCATAGGACGAATTCTAACAGCCAGGTTCACACTTTGATGTTTACCGAAAGTTAAGAGTTATCACTCACACTTCTTCTCTTACTGTGTAGTTTTAAGGCTGTTTTTCTCTTACTGTGTAGTTTTAAGGCTGTTCTTCTCTTACTGTGTAGTTTTAAGGCTTTCTCTATTTACATATATATTTCGTTTGTTTGAAATTAAGCACAAAGCTACACAATGGGCTATCTGTGCTCTGCCCACCACGGGTATCGAAACCCGGTTTCTAGCGTTGTAAGTCCGCAGACATACCGCCGTGCCACTGGGGGCGCTTTACATACATAAACGTTCAGTGGTACGTACCATGTAATAAATTCACACCAGAATCATCAACCGAATTGTCAGAAGAAAAAAAAAGTAGCGTGATCAGCTGCATTTTAAGGTATGTACATAATAATTACGAACATCCGCGAAACATATAGAAGCTATACCTCCTGGTTATTTTAAATAAATCTATATAATTAACATTTGCTAAAAACTGGGTTCCATTTTAACCATTTTCATTCTTTCGATATATTGTCGTTAAATGTATAAATTACAACCACTCACTAGATTGTTTGTTTGTTATGGATTTCGCGCAAAGCTACACCAGGGCTATCTGCGCTAGCCGTCCCTAATTTAGCAGTGTAAGACTAGTCATCACCACCCACCGCCAACTCTTGGTGTGATTGACCGTCACACTATAAAGTCCCCACGGCTGAAAGGGCGGCGAGCATGTTTGGTGTCACTGGGATTCGAACCACCTGGCCACGCAGGGCCTACTAATTAGAAATATATATGGTTATTAAATGTATCTGTGTTGTATCAGATACGTAATTGCACAAGTCCATCAAAAACTAACATTAAATACAAATACGAGAACTCGTATGTAATACTGTATCACTATTTCATCATTAAATACTCTCTAACAGAGAGTAAGTGATGTATACGGCGTGTGTGTGTATACAAATGTGCAAATAGTAAACGATATTTTTAATTTACTACATTTTATTAGTAAGATGTACACATTATATGCAATGATTTTTTTATTTATCTTTCAACCACCAGAAATATGTATTCATTTTTTGATCTACATATTCATTCAAATATTCGGTATTTTCATTAAAAAAAAATCTTTATGAACGTTTATAATCAACCCTTTTTTTCAATGGTGGTTCTGAAAGCTTCTTTGTTTTCTTAATTTCAAAATTACAATCATAATCATATACATACAACAGCAATAAGTTTATAATTTTATATATAGATATATACGTATACAGTTTGGTTTCAATAATTCTCCTCAAAACTGTTAATATTTAGTTTAACACATATATTTACTATTTTACAGTACTTCAAGGAAAAGTGGATTCCCTTCGTCATCAAGACGCCCTCCATAGGTCAGAACTAAAAGTTTATATAACCCAGGTTTATAAAAAAAATGAAACATCTCGGTCAGTCCGGACATTTAATCAAAGTCAATCAAATTATGCCGTTCTTTACAGACCATTAAAATGTGGCTCTCATACTGCTGTTGGTGATTTTGTACTTTTTGGTAGGTGGATACTGGGTGTTCCCGTTGTCCAGTGCGTACCAAAGTTAGCAGAATGGCAAAAAGTACGTAGAGAAGCTTTGCGTTATAGAAAAAATTCATGTGAGCTAAATTAATTTCTTAATTCAGTTATGCGAGTTGAAAGAAAATATTCTTACCCAATTTTGTGTTTAACTTCCATGAACAAAAAAACCTTATCTATATGTATGAGAAACTTAAGTTCAACAGCAAATGCTCAAGCTATATGCCGTTATAACGACTATTAGTATAGAACCTGCTGACTGTCTGAAATCCCTTATGTACAGCTTCATAATACCACAGAAATAGCCAAAATTAATATAAATAATCTTAGGTTTTTCTAACTCTGTGTACTTTATATAGTTTTCTGTTGTAAACATTAATAATAAAAAACTGGATCACTCGTAAGTTCTCTGGTTAATTATCCGCCTGGTTTTGTTTGTTTATTTTGAATTTCGCGCAAAGCTACACGAGGGCTATTTGCGCTAGCCGTCCCTAATTTAGCAGTGTAAGACTAGAGGGAAGGCATCTAGTCATTACCACCCACCACTAACTCTTGGGCTACTCCATTACCAACGATTGGTGGGATTGACCGTTATATTATAACGCCCCACGGCTGAAAGGACGAGCATGTTTGGTGTGACGGGGATTCGAATCCGCAGATTACGAGTTGAGCGTCCTAACCACCTGGTTAATACAAAAAACTTGAAACGTTATCAAAATACAATTATTTTGATGAGAATATTCATCCAATACTTTAATTATCCGAACAAGTAATAGTTTTCTGCATTTACTGACCTTTGTAAAAAATATATACTAGACAAAAATAAAAATAACGGCTTCCAAAGTTAAAAACATTAATTGTAACTCATCTACTTTTTCTTTAGATAAATTGTTAAATATATTTGTAACTAAAAACCGGTCTTCGATTGTTTTTACAATCGATGCTATAATAGCTTAAATCAAGAAGGTGTACAAACTGGGACAAATATTAACGTTTCTGCTCTATACCTAAGATAATATTCGTTATGTTACTTCTGTCTGTCGTCAGTAGACCGTCTGCTACATGACCTGCGTGTACCGACAGTGCTATCAAAAAGGTGGAGAGGAGAGGAGGGACAATAATATGGTAAATTTGCATTAATATTAGTATGACAATTTCATTATTTTGCTCTAAAACAATGCAGCCCCGAGAGCTTCGTATTATTAGCAAAATATATATTCAACCCTTTCTCTTCAAATCAGTGGCATTTCCAATTCTCACAGTATAAAGCTATTAATATTGAATGATAATTCACAGGCTATTTTTCGACAAAAGAAACCCTAGCTGTCGTTACATCTTGCCACATCTAGGGTGAACAATATTTTACTATAATGGACGTAGCGCGTATATCTGTTTCTATGTATGTCACCGAAATAATAAATGCAATGTGGCGCCATCTGTTGAATAGTACCACAAACAAAAATCCATTAAAAAAATCACACTTTGGATTCAGACAGTTTGTATGTTTGTTTGTTTTGGAATTTCGCACAAAGCTACACGAG